AAATTCGTCAATAAATTCACAGCAAGCTTGGTGTGTTAAAAAATTCTCTTTGTCAAATTTCGGAGCATCCTCAAACCAGTCCATTCTGTGAGTGTGGATCGACCCGCGTTGTTGCACTTCCTTTCTCTTAAAGAAGTCCTTGTGCGAGTAAGGGTAAAATATTCCACCAATTGGCTTGATCAGAAATTTGTCCATTGCCTTCTCTCGCCTGTCGTAAGCCATTACACATCCTATGGGGTCATTTCTTATGAGATCTGCTTTAGCATCGAACTTGAGATTGGAAACTTCTTCGTCGGTTAACGCATTCTCAGTCCATATTTCCTATTGTGAAGCATCGAAATCAACTCTGGTCATTTCGTCTCTGCGGCAGATGTTGTAATGAAGAATGTGGGCAGGCCCAGCTGCCGAATCATAGCCATGACGTCCTTTTTCTTTTCTTCCAAATAGGACGGCGAGTTGACAATATTGGACAAAAGGCGATACCCGTCATCGTGTTGAACTAAGTTTTGAACACATTCGTTGTTAAGCATGTTCCCAGCAGTTATAATACCGCGCCTTTTCTTTTTTCGTAAACATATGTTTATGTTGCTAGCAATCCTGTGAGTTTGAACTAGACGGTAGCTGTATAATATTTTGTCTGCTCTTCTGCAACGTGGGTCAAATCTTCGAAGTTCCGACTTTGCAATATCAGCATAGGACAAGTTAGCATCTGGATTAAATTTTCTTTTGATTCCGCAATAAATAGAAGGGAAGGATAGCTCCTCAGCGTCCAAATCCATAAGCAATGAGAGCGGGCGCGTTCCTTCTCCAGGTGCTACTGCCATAATCAGTTGATCTTCTTGCATTAGAGTTTCCGTTAAAGGTGCATCGTTATCTTCAGTTTGGGGTTTGTCACTGATAGATAGTTCTTCAATGCTCTCAATGTCTGTATTGCTCTCGGTAGCATCGTTAGGGTTTACTATATATTGTACAGTGTCGGTTGAAGAACAGTTTGCCCAGTCTGATGAAAGAAATACGTTTTCCTTTCTATACAACTCGGTACGCACTAGGTAATTGGCGGCATGAAAAACTTTATGTGGCCGTATAGTTTGAAACATGCTTTAATTGAACTTGAACGGTACTTGTCTCATCGAATTGGCGGGGTATCACTTTAGCAACAATATCCATGTCATTGGGAACATTGACCACTCCACCTCGGATCCCGTACTGACGGTCACTCCCTAAAGATCGTATCTGCGCGAACGGTAATCTTAATGCAACCAGGCGTTCCTCCAAAGTCGTCATGTTCTGTAGTTGATGTGGGATTGGGGGGAAATACAGTCCGTTTGACATACATAATCTTGGCACGTCACCGTTCTTCAGTGAGTCGTGACATGTGCCACATAGGAAATACTTCCCATCTACTTTCATGTGGGCGAACGGTTTCTTGGGATGAAGTTTGCGCACGGTTTCTGTTGTCGTTGGGTGCACAGAAGTTTTATACCAAAGTCCGCCGCATGAACTGCATATCCATTTAGGTTGATCAGCTATTTCAATTTGAAATGAGTTGAACAAAATATCATAATCATTTTTGGCATTTTGTCGAGAAACCGCTTTTCTGATTGTATTCCGCTGTTGTTCCGTCTGCCTGTAAGTATCTTCTTCTCGGCGGGAAGCATGCTCCACTCGATTACGGACTTTTTCCACTTCGCGATAAGACTCATTTTCTCGGCGGGAAGCATGTTCCACCCGATCCCGCTCTTTTTCCACTTCGCGATAAGTCTCATTTTCTCGGCGGGAAGCATGTTCCACCCGATCCCGCTCTTTTTCCACTTCGCGATAAGTCTCATTTTCTCGGCGGGAAGCATGTTCCACCCGATCCCGCTCTTTTTCCACTTCGCGGTAAGACTCATTTTCTCGGCGGGAAACATGTTCCACCCGATCCCGCTCTTTTTCCACTTCGCGGTCAGACTCATTTTCTCGGCGGGAAATATGTTCCACCCGATTCCGCTCTTTTTCCACTTCGCGATAAGACTCATTTTCTCGTCGAGAAGCATGTTCCACCCGATTCCGCTCTTTTTCCACTTCGCGATAAGTCTCATTTTCTCGGCGGGAAGCATGGCTTATCCTGTCCCGCTCTTTTTCTTCTTCTCGGTAGATGTCAATCTTCCTAAGTTCAGCGTGAGCTGCGGCGTCCCTTTCTTGCTCTTGTTGTCGCATATCTGCATCCATCCTGTGTAATTTCTTCGAGATAGAGTTTTTTTCTGCTTCGGAACGACGGAACTCTTCGTGTTTCCTTTTTCTCCGCATCCTTTCTTTCATACTTAGTTTTCGAGGCATGATTTACCCGCTAACTAAGGGCAACACCAACTCAATAAACGTAGGTTACGTACCTGTCGATAAGCCACTTAGCGATTTGCAATGCTCTACTCGATAAGCTACTTCACCTTTCGCTCCACTTCTTGACAAATTTCTCCTCCTCCAGATAAGTCGCTCCACCCCTTCTCCTCCAGATAAATTTCTCCTCCTCTTGATAAGTCACTCCCCCTCTAACGACCCCGTCTTGATAGTTACTTCTCCGATTTGGAATTTGCGTAATATAGAGCGAGACGTTTCGATTATTCAGAATTAGAAAATTCAGACGCAGAATAAATATTGAAATCCAAGATTTGTTTTTCTCCTGTTTCTGTTTGTCTGGTCTAGCATACGTTAGCATAGTTACATAACTTATAATGAAATGATGAAATTTATATTCATTTTATTTCATTTTATTTATTTCTTATTATTATTATCTTCTTCCATTCATTCATTATATCCTTCAAATTTTCTTATGCATCCAAATTAAATATGGTTATGCTTAAATTACACTATCTATGTTTGACTGAAGATTATGTCAAACTTATGTCCCATTGAGTATTAAAGGGCGAGCTACTTCTGCCGTTACAACGGTTTATTTAATTTAATTTAATCATGAGAAAATGCATCGTTGGTAAGCGGCGTTTGCAAGCAGAGCTACAATTAGTAAAATTGAAACCACCAAACAAAAACTACGAAGTGATATTTGTGAGTCAGTTACTGAAGATAAAGACAAACCTTTCAAAATAAAAAATATTACGAGACAAGAAGAAATTGAAACAAGAGTTAGTGATCAGTTTGAAAACTACATTCGTGATGTGCACGCTGGAAATGATAATATTAGCATTAAAGAAGAAGATAGTGAAGTAAGTGAATTCGAGGTCGAAGATATTGAAAGATATTTAAAAGCCTGGGCTCTTGATAATGCAGTAAATCAGAGACAATTCACGGCGTTGTTAAAAACTCTTCGTCGTCACAAATGTTTTGCAAAAATTCCTGCCAGTTCCTGCTAATATTCAACTTACCGAATTGTGCCCTGGAAATTATGCACATTTTGGAATTGGACCATATCTACAGTGTTTGTGCTCATCAGTGGTGCCTGATCTCCAAATAAACATTGATGGACTGCCAATCTACGAGAGTAACAATTTGAACTTTTGGCCAGTGTTAGGACATTTTGTTAATTTCGAGTACGATCCTTTTGTGATTGGACTGTACTGTGGTGACAAGAAACCTGAGTCGTCTAGCGATTTTTTAACGATGTTAATCAAAGATTGGACGAGAAAAAAATAAAAATTCATTCATTTGTGTGTGACATTCCCGCCAAGGCCTTCATTAAAAATGTCAAAGGTCACAATGGTTATAGTGCGTGCGAGAAATGTACAGTTGAAAAATGTCACATCAATAGACGTATGTGTTTTGTTGATCAAAATTCCACTTTAAGGACAAATCAATCATTCCGTGAAAAACTTGACGATGAGCATCACAATGGAGATACAAAATTAACACAAATACGTAGCCTCGATTTAGTTAATGAGTTCCCTATAGACTATATGCACGCCGTTTGTCTGGGTGTGGTGAAAAAAATTTTACTTCTGTGGGTGGAAGGAAAGCCGCGTCAGCAAAATCTCCAGCAAATTTGAAAAGTATCCGGAGTCACACAGTCCTTGAATTCGCAAGAAAGCCGAGATCTTTGAGGGATATAAAGAGTTGGAAAACGACAGAATTTCGTCAGTTTGTTCTCTACAGCGGCCCAATTATTCTAAAATCGGTCCTTTCGAGAGATAATTATAATTTATTCGTCTGCCTAACAGTGGCAATCCGTATTTTGTGTTCTAAAGCCCACCACGCCAAACACAACGACTATGCAAATGAATTGTTGTGTTACTTTGTTTCTGGATTCACAAAATTATATGGCGAAGATCAAGTTTCAATTAATGTACATAGTTTAATTCATCTGGCAACAGACTGTAAAAAATTTGGGCCATTGGACACTTTCAGCGCATTCAAATTTGAAAGTGCCCTTGGATGACTAAAAAACATTAGTGTGAACGCCGAATAAACCAACACAACAATTAATAAATCGCATGGCAGAGACTGGGATAAAATTGAGATCCTCAAAATGCCCCAACTTTCAGCTCAAGAAGGAAATTCAATTCAGTGAACTTTCCAGCACACTCATTTCAGGAGAACATGTGAAATACTACACTGTTCTACGCACAAAACTATTTTCAATTAATTGTAGCGTTATTCGTGACAGTTTTATTTTAACCCGTAACTTACACCTTTTGCAAATTCAAGCGTTTTGTTCAGGCGAAAATGGAAAGTTATCGTTAATCGGAAAGTTGTTTGACAAATCTAGCGACGTGTTTATCGAACCCATAAATTCCTCATTAATTCACATCTTTAAGTTTGATAATTCTCATTTTGTGCCAAAGGAAGTTTTGTATTGCGAACCACTATACAAAGTTCAAACCTTTCCGAACTCGACAAAAGAAATCGCAGTTTTTCCCCTTCTTCATGGTGATGTTCTCCATAGTTGAGTTCACAGATAAGAACAAGAAGTATGTTGAAGTCGTGCGAGCCTCATGGTACACTATCCTCACAAAAACAGAAACCCCATTCAATTGATAAAGTCATCCAAAAATCCTGAGTCAACCTGGGCAATGTATCCTGCTCGGATTCTCCACGCTTATGGTAATTATAGTTTTGTAGCAATTAGGACCAATTATATAAGAGAAATGTTTAATTAAAATTGGTTTTTTACGTCAGTAACCTACGAAGAGGCCCGCAAACACATTTCAGCAGCGGAAGATAAGTCGGACCTTTCGTCCCCAGAGTCAGAAGATGTGAATCGAGGTCACGCGAAAAGAAGCCGTATTCGTCAAGAATTAAACAGAGGTATACCTCCATTGTATTATTGGTGTCTCGCTTATACTTAAATTATACTGTTAATTATATAATTTATATAAATTAAATATGTTGACAACATATTTAATTTATATTTAGCATATTTAGCAATGTGCATCTATTATCACAAGTTTCACAAACTCGTCGTCAAGGGAAATTTTCATTTCTCCTCTCATCTTCAGCTTATACACATTTCGCCAACACCGAGAAGTTGCGACTATGTGGTCGGAACCAACGATTTTGAGTGACGTGAATAGCCACACTGTATTTTGTGTTTTGACAACAAATAAACCGTTCCAAAGGAAATGTAGCAAAGGGATGAAGCAACACGGTCACGCGGTCATGGCATGTCAAAATGATGTCGATTTTTGAAATCCCCGCCCTAAGCTACGTCCAAAACTACCGAAACAAAAAAATTCGACATTTTCGACATGTGGCGTCGTCTACACTGTCAACGCGCACCGCACGTCGAAATGATGGCGATTTTTAAAATCCACTTCCAATAATACGTCTGGAACGGTTAAGACAAAAAATTCGACATCTTTGACCGTTGGCGTCCGTGGCTCCATGACCTACAACGCCCATGTTCGAACTCATACGTACTTAAAAAATTAGAAACACATTGGCGAAAATCCAATCTCCATATTCGAATTTGTTATAAAGTTTTTGAAATCCACTTCCAATAATACGTCTAGAGCGGTTAAGACAAAAAACTCGACATACAAGACATTCCCAGAAAGGAATTTCGCTTCGCTTCACCCCTTAATAGTGCTAGTATTTGTTGATTAATGTATTTTGGACTTTGAAATGTCTGAAGTGTATTTCCGTTTTATATTTTGAAACCGTGTGTTTTGGACACCCCTGGAACCAAAATCCTGCTCTGGTACTACCCTGAAAATTATGCAGCTGCTAGAGCGTCAAATATGTGGGGTAGAACAGTGTCAATGTCTTACAATTTATTATAGGGCCCACAGCATAAGAACTGATTATTAATTACCCCTAGTAGGTCTAGTTAATTTATTTGTTAAGATAATAATAACGGTTGTTTCGCAAATGTGGGAAAGAAGATTTTCCTCGTCTATTAGCCCGAGGAAAAGCATAGCCTGCGAGCGCCGAAGGCGCGAGCGGCTAGGGGCGCCAAATTTTTTTTTGCCCCGGTAAGATTTTTGGCAAGCTCGGGCCCTGTATGTTGTACAGATTCTTCAGATGATGCAGGCTCCGAAGATGAAGTTAAGAAGTCTGCCCTTCCAGCCCTACCAAAGTTCAATAATTCTTTTCCGCAAGTTCCACCCCCGCCGTCTAATCAAATTTTGTCCGCCCCAGAATCAGATATTTCTGTGGAGTTACATAATACTGGTTTGGGTGAGTTCATCATAAATTATTGGTCTCATAATTATATAAATATACATATGTGCAAATGTTATAGATGCCGACGGCAACCAAACCTTTCAGCTCGTCGAAACAAGTTTATTTCAAGAACAAATTGAATATTCTGGTGCAGTAGCTTCATGTTAGTTTCCCATTAGAATTAGAATTATGGTTCCTACAAAATTTGATCGTGGGATTTCTAATTTGCAGCCTCGACCGGGCAGCAGAAATCTGCAACTATTACGCGCCCTGGGGTTCTTGGTCAAATTATCCAAAGCGAACCTACGAATTATTCATCAACTTTGTTGCACGGTGAGATATTCAACCCAATCTGCTTATAACATTTTACAAATTATTCTGCAAGACCCCCAGCCTAATCTTTTATATACTTCTGACCTTAACGCTATTTGACTATTCGAATAATGCCTTAAAATGCCTTATCCTCTTTTACAAACCAATCCTGCTGGGTTCCAAGGGCCGTCCTTCTGTTTATTAGTTAGCCTAAAGTACTGAATTCGTCTTTATGAGAGCGGTGGGTGTGCCGGAATGTTTCCACTATGCGGAATGATGGGCGGTGTGGCCACGGAGTTTAACGGGAACAAGAATTATTATTTATTGATTCGTAGCTGGAGCTCACCCGAGGACTAGTTCCTCAGACGAAGCTCAACCGTAGACTCCCCCCGATTCATACAATACATGTCTTTAAATACCAATTCCTAACATAAGTAAGTATTACAAGATAGACACAGGCTGTATTAAGTAACTAGAGTGATGCTCGGGTTTAAACCCGAGTACGTATTGCATTACACATCTTCCTTACTCTCTGCAATACCAATACTCAATTGAAATACCAATGCTCAACTGCAATAACCATACTCAACTGGAGAAGGGAAGCCAACTAGTTAGAAGGGAAGCATACTAGCTAAAGGGAAGCATACTAGCTAAAGGGAAGCAAACTACTGTATTCCCTATTCATCGTATGTATTAACTAACTCCAATTCATCGTGTCTATTTGAAGCTCACATACAAAATAAATGACTACATTTATAATTCAAAATTATTTACGAATTATTACAAAGTATTGTTTTCGAACCTTGTGTAGTGAAGGACTTAATTCGTGAAGTATCAATGATCAAACATACCGTCAACAACATTGAGCGAAAATTGGATAATTTAATTTCTTCTGGGATTAATCAACATTCAACGGATGACGAACAGCAGCCAATTTTACGGCAACCGTTTGAATCACTTGAGGAATTTAAAGAATTCGACGCAGCTTTATGCAATGACGATAAAAGCTCATTAGTAAGCAAAAGGCTTCAAATTTTTAACCGTTATTTTAGGGAAACGTTATTGAAGTCTGGTCATCCTAGGCCAGTAAGTTTATTTATAAACTAAATAATTTTATTTTTTGTTTCGGTGCAGAAGCGATATTTCACGAAATGTGGCGGGGCGGATTGTGGGGATGGAATAAGAAGGATGCTGAAGAAAATAATGATTGACGATGTGGCTAAATTGATTAGTATGAAAGGCCAAAAGGGGAATTTTAATTTTTCAAGCACCTCCACGTGCCCAGTCCTGATTGGTGAGCATTGACTTTTACAGCAAATACCCATTAATTGTTTCGATTTCGAAATATTCATTAATATAATTTGGTGGTCAGGCGCTGCCCTTGCTTCAAAGCAATTTTCGACGACGGAGGCAGAAGCTGAAAAGGCAATTTCATCCTGGTTTCAACATGCCACTGACCGACTTAAGAAGAATGAAGCCTCAAAAAAGCCTAAGCACTAATTTGTAGCAACAATTCTTAATTGAAATATTTTTTTGAATAATTCTTGTAGTTTACCATCACATTTGTTTATGAAATTAATTATTAAATGAAGTAATAAATCAAAAATACTTATCCTAATATTGTCGTTAGCACGTCCCTACATTATCTTCCAGTGATATTCATGTGACATCTGCATAACATCACCGAGCAAAGTCCCAAAGATATCCACGAGTGGGCTAAATAGCGTATCGCATGGATGTCGCGTATAAGACGTAATGAGGATGTGCTAGCGGGGCTAAATAGGAACAAGCTGAGGAGATCGGTGCGACTAAAAAGCGACAGTGGTGGACATTCTGGCGACATCAGAACGTCCCCAAAATTTCATCGCGAAGATATTATTACGACCTGATTAAGTTTCTGGGGTAAACTAATTTGCGCTATAAATCTCATTTTGCCCCGATCAAACCGCGACCACACCCCCTGGCGCCCAGGGGGTGTGGTCCAAAAGTTTACGGGATCCTCCCCCAGAGGTCATATGTATGATGCCGCAAACTGATTTCGATTATCTTAATGCGTTCTCGAGTTATAGTGTTCACGGACAGACAGACGGACGGACGGACAAACTAACTAACCGATCGCATAAAGTAGCTTGCGCTACTTAATAATGATAGACATATTTAGAAAGTTTTGGGGAATTTTTACATTTTTCTCCTAAAATTCTCAGCGGTTGCGACCGTTGCTGGATGGGGCGCCCTTGTTGAGGGTGGGTCATGTTAGGTTAAACCGAAGGATTAAGGGTTTAACCTAACCTAAGGGTTTAAGTACCTGGGTAAGGTATCAAATTTAGGGGGGTAACATGGTCCAAGGATAACAATATTGGCTTTTTTAACGCTTTAACGTTATTCCACTGACTATAAACTATTCGTGTCAACCTACCCCAAAGCTCCTGAATGGCACTGGTGTCAAGTATTTTCGACGGCGAATACCCTCGGACAACAGTCCAAGGGTATTCTATCTACAGTACCCTACATTACTCCGCGAAGCCTGCACTAGGCTTTGTCTGGCTGGAGAATTCTACCCTGCCTACAGATCTTGGTTCCATTGAGGAACAAATTGTTTTGGAGTATATCCTAGTATTACCCTGTGTCCACGCGAGTAATAATTTCGGCAGGAAGACTGGTCCCAAGGCCTCCCAGATCCAGGCCCCGATTTTGGGGAGGGCAAGCGGGGCAATTGCCCGGGGCGCTAGATCCCAGGGGGGCGCCGGTAGGCGCCCGAGTTTACACTAGATAAAATTGAATTTTCCAATGCTACATAAAGTTTATATTAAAAGTAAATATTAGATACTAAATATAAAGTTAAAGTAAAGATATGGCTTATTTAATGTAATTTAAGTTTTTCAGCTTATGCATATTAACAATAACTCAATAATTTAACCCGGAATCTGTTAAGACGGAACGCAATTTGATTTGGATAAGGCTATTAGTGTTTAAGGAGCTAATTTTTCTGAGACCGACGGCAGCATTTTCGCGTTTATACTCTGTCCCCCTCGCTGAATTTAAGGAGCTCAAAGTCGGAAAATAATCCAGTCTGCGATTTTTGGCACACAGAGAGATCGATATTTTTAAAGGCGGTTTTCACCAAAAATTTCCTAATTTTGTATCCCGCAACCGTTTCCGAGCATTCTCTTGAACGCACTTCAGGACCTGAGGATAAAGGTAGGGAAATGTCAAGTCTCACATAACCCCACAATATCCGCCAGATATTGATGAGCAATTTAGCGTATTACTCATGGGGAGACTTGGTGCTTCTTTGCCAATTGATTTTAGGTCGACGGATTTTTTTTTAAATTGCCACGGTTCACTTTTCTGACACACGTAGCTTTTCGAAACTTGCGGGGCATGGTCGTTAAGCGAGACTTGACGTCATAGTTCTATCGTCTGGTCACAAAACTGGTGACTTTTCGAATCTAATTATTTATTCTGGTTACGTAGCTTATAGAAAGTGCAATTAATTGACTTTTTATGTCCAATAAATTTGTGGGGGTCATTCCTGGTCCGCAAATAGCTTAAATTTCCTAAGATGGGGTAGCGGGTTTACAACGCAGCTTGAACCTAAGTATTCGAAAAGTTTCGAATATTTGGAATTAGCGCCATTGTTACACGCTATATGGGGAAAAAGGTTACAAGGTTTATAATTTTGGCCAACCCTATAGAGTATTTTGTAATTCACTCAATTACTAGCAAACCCATTAGCCTAGAATGTAGTGTTGGTTTTCCAAAATATTTAAATGACGTGGGTATTCACGTCAACTTCGTAGATGTCGCTAACGTCGCTTTGCAACATATCCTCGCAAATTTGCGATGCTTACGAACAGTTGCAATCCAACAAACAATCAGATTGCTTTATTTTGTTACGAAATATGCGAAGTGAAGGGTATCTACTATAGTCGTAAACCATTTTTCGCAAACCTGTCGTCAAGTGAAGTTTCATTTCGTCTCTCATGTTCAGTTGATATATTTTCATGCAAAATAAGTAGTTCACGACACACATTCCGCAAACACCGAATAGTTGGGAGGAGTGACGTGAATACCACACATTATTTTGTGTCTTGGCAATAAATATCTAATGCAAGTATTTTTTGATATTTTGGACTTTGAACCTAACAGCCTGAAGGATGTACATACATTACTGTTTTGTATTTTGAAACCGTGTGCTTTGAACAACCCTGCAACCAAAATCTTGCTCTGGTCTTACCCTGCAAATTATGAACCTGCTAGCGCGTCAAATATGTGTAGAACAGTGTTTATGTCGTACAATTTATTCTTGGGCCCACGGCCTAAGAACCGATTGTTAATTACCCCAGTAATTACCCCTAATAATTACTAATTAGTTTAGCTCTTAAGATAATAATTACGGTTGTTTTGCAAAAGAAGATTTTCCTAATCTATTAGGCCGAGGAAAGGCGCACCCTGCGAGCGCCGAACGCGCGAGCGGCTAGGGGCGCCAAATTTCTTTGCCCCGGTAAGATTTTTGGCAAGATCGGGCCCTGCCCAGATCGTTACTGACCTAGAGCCAAAGAATATGCATACCCAATAAAAATAATAATCGTATATTTCTATGCTGTTATGCATTCTGCATGTATTTAATGGGTTTAATTGCGCACACTAGTCTGCCTCTTCTAGAAAAAATCAGGCTCGTGTCTCAAATCATACCAATAATATTTGCATCTGTCAGGGCCATCGAGATTCCAATTTTGGCATCAGAGGGTAGGGCTATTCCACATTTCATTTTACTCAGGACATGCGATTTCTCGCAAAATCGGGTCTGGATCTTTTATGTGCATCAGTAAGAGTAGGTTGAGCAACGTTTTTATATAATGCAGGATATGCAAAATTCGTCAACACATTGAGAACCGTATCATGCACAAATTTTTGGCAAAAATTACTAGTGAGTTTTGTAATTCACAATTTTGCATGGCATGTTAGGTTAACTATTTGCGTTCAGTCTTGTTCCATAGTCACTTTCGGAACCTCTTGGCCAATTCGGGTTGCATAATGTCTCTCCCAATTCAATACTATGACGAATAAACACCTTGGATTTTGAAATACAATTTGCGAGTCCTTTTTCATTTTTTCTAAGATCATTCATTAATCGAACCTAGGCAGATTAACTTTCATTTGGGCCTAAACTTCTCCCTTTATTGGTGTACAAAAGAGTTTTTACTCAGAACGGGACTATGACCAAAAATAAAATAAAATAGTGAAGTGGTCCTATCGTTTTTGGACACCCCATTTTCACACATTTCAATATATCGACGGAAGTTCATGATGGATTTAATCCAAACTTGGTGGGATAATGTAGGGTGACAATGTCCAGAAACCTGCCAAATATCAATTCATTCAAGATAACATGAGCAGAGAAACAGAAACAAAATCGCTTGGTCATATAATTGTTGGACGCACCCTACGTGAGCAAATTTTTCTCACGCCCCCTTCCACACCCACTGGGGCGTGGTTTCAAAATTCTATAAATTCTGTGGATATCCACTCGTGGAGCGGAGAAAAGTGATATATCACATGATATTGTTTTCGCTAAAATAGACAATTTCCTTAGAGCGACACCCACTGGGGGTGTGGTTACAAAACTTTAATGAATCTATCGAAATCCCCTCGCCGAGATGAGAAAAATGATATATCACATGACATGATTTGGTTAAGGTCGAAAATTCGCCGTGGGCCGCACCCACTGAGGGTGTGACATGCGACCATTTGAAAATTGCAGTGCCCAGGGTGTCGAGGCATTTTTTCGACATACAGTTCGATTTTTAGTCTTTGAAATTTAACGGTATTCATTAATTATATTTTACAATTTCTTTGAACTTGTGACCTTAATTTCGACGGGGTGTGGTCGAATTTAAAAAATCTGGAGATGTATATTTCGCGCATTGACCTAAGGTTTCCAAAACAGTCACAACTTGGGTCAACAATTTGAAAAGAAATCGGAATTTCAATTGTCAATGTTGTTAAGCACGACAAGATCGGCCATTAAGCCTCTCAGCAAGAAATGTCTTTAATTTTGATTCCTCTACCAGAGAGTGTGGTTTTTACACCCAAAATAAGTTCCTACACACCACAGTTTGCTGAGAAAGTCCAATGAGTGAGTATACTCAAAGCATACTTGAGTAAAAGTAATTTAACTTAAATTTGATTTTTTTAAATTTTAATGACTAGGTGGGTGTGGTTGGAATAAAGTTTGATGGTCGCAGATTGTCACAGCAGGGTATACTCAGCACACCATGGGCTCTTTAATGGCATTCGTTTTGAGTCCGCCATGCACGAAATTTTAGGAAGTTTTTAGAAAATGTATTCGCCCTATCTTCGTAATGTATTATGAAAAGTTTACCCAACTGGTACGCCTGAGTGGGTGTAACGTTTGGTTTTATATTTTGCATGGAGGACAGGTTGGTTCTTTACTACAAGTTGAAGTATGTGACTAGCCAATTCAAGATACGCCTTAA